ATCAAAATTGGAAGTACGTATAAAATAGCACAGTGAGACAGCAATAATGCCTGCTTTCCGCTAACCCGACTGAGCCGTGTTTTAAATTTGATTATAATGGTAGTGAACTGAAAAGGGCGAGGATATAGATATATCATTAAGTAGCAACAGTGAACACCTCTGTGAATTTATTTGTAGATAATGAATTATTCGTGCTGTGTGAAAGAAACATTCGAAACTTTACAGGCATATTTCTCATTCAGATTACTATGATTAGGCTGCAGTCATCCAAGACTGTTTCATCTATACCAGATTTCTTAAATTTTATTAAATAAGCTGTTAATTCTCACAAAAACAGCATAAAACAAAACCGAAATTATTACACCTTCTTCATATTTATCAGCCCCCAAGTGGTTCAGTGGTAAGTCTGCAGGCTTACAACGCTAAAAGTTTGGTTTCGATACCCGTGGTGGTAAGGGCACAAATTGCCAATTCTGCAGTTTTGCTCTCAACAACAATCAAATCAAACCATATTTATTAATTCGAACATTTTTCCTTGGTGCGATAATTAAATTATTAATAACACTTGTGAGAGGTTTTAATTCAGCGATGGAAACCGGCATACATGCACCGTCATACCCGTGACAAGGCACGGCATGCTCATGGATCTCAGGGTCGAGGGTTCGAATCCCCGTCTCACCAAACATGCCCTCCCTTTCAGCGGTGAGGGCGTTATAATGTGACGGTCAATTCCACTATTCGTTGGTAAAAGAGTAGCCCAAAAGTTGGCGGTGGTTGGTGATGACTAGCTGCCTTCCCTCTAGTCTTTCACTGCTAAATTAGAGAAGGTTAGCGCTGATAGCTCTCGTGTAGCTTTGCGCGAAATTCAAAAATAAACAAACAAACAAACAATTCCCGTGACCAGTAGCACTAATAGAGAAAATTTAGAGAAGTTTTTAAAGCAGCAAACGGGGATATGTTGTGGCGTTTCATTCCCTTAGCTCCTGTATTAGTACGACAACATTTACAGTACACGTACGATGCCCATAATACAACCTTTATGTCTGAAGCTACTTCTACGTTGATTATTTATTGATAATTATTTCAAAGCGCACGGAATTACGTATACACCAAATAATACGTAGGTCAACGGAAACACCAGTAACTTGTGGAATCATCTTTAATAAAGGTGGTTCTCTCTGAGCAGGTCAATATACCACTAGATCTATCAAGTAAAAATATCAAGTAAAATGTTCTTCATAAGTATAACTAAAATTAAGAAATTATGCTTATTGTTTATAGCACAAAGCTACACAATGGATTCGAACCCGGAGTTTAGCATGATAAGTTACCGCTAACCGACTAGGGAACTTACGTATAGAAACTTATTGATTGTATATTAGTCACAACAAAAATGAAAATTAACATATTTACGAAACCTTGTGGTACGGGCTGTTCTTAAAAGGACAATATGATACAAGTTAAATTATCGTAATTATTTTTCTCCAAAGTTGATCACCGAAAGATATTAAAATGTTAACCTACTGTAGCATTTAAGAAATGGAAGAAATACGTGAAAAAAAGCAAATTGTTACATTCGTTGGAATATTATGAAACGGGTAACTACGTTTTTATTTCATGTTTGCAAATATGTTTGTAAAATATTTGATAAATATACAGTGAGCACATAACAGCAAATAAAACACAGCGTTCTCTCGGCTCATAAGCACGCTCTTACGAAAAAATGACCTACTATTTCTGTTATATTTCACTGATGAAATGTTATTCTTGAACAAATGAATTCCGTTTTCTTATTCAATTTTCTAAGTTCTATATAAAATTTGGGCGATTTTAGGGCGTCTTGAATACATAGATCTGATACGTGTGGAACAAAATGTCACGGCCGATGTTGATCGATGTTCTGCTTGAATGATTAAACAAAAAATTTAGGGTACACGCGCATTAAACTGACATAGATACGTTTAAAAGCTTTGCAATGACAAACTTTCAACTTAATAACAGATCTCTACTGAAGATACACCTTTAGGAATCGCTATTGATTGAGCAATAAAATGAGTAGTGGTGTTAAAAACAAGAAAGTGCGAAACAACCAATTATCAGTTCAAAAGAAGACGGAAAAAAGTGAAAAAAAAACGATCTTAAAATCTAGAGCTATATACTGTATAGATCGATCAGTCACAAGCTGCGGTCATCATTAATTTTAAGCTGACTACCGTGCCAAGTCACACAACAGCAGCGTGTTACGTCATCCGACCAAGCCAATTTCCTTGGACACATCGGGTGAGTTTTTTGTTTTGTTTTTTCAAGGTGTGGAACGGAAGGGAAAGTAGATAGGCTTACTTAAAGACGGCGGAAACCAATTTATGTGTTCGACTAAAGCGACCTCTACTAGACAGACAACACTGATGACCTATTATGTACACCACTCAACTTTTATTGTTGTTATAGAACGTAATTTCTCTTCCTGTGTTCTAACACTCCCCATTTTAAAAGTAAACCTAATCAGTAGAACAATATGAGACTAACAACAGCGAATGTGGCTTATACAAAAACTCTATGATAATCGTACAAACTTATTTGTATATCTTTGTACTAACTCATGCACGTGGTTCTGCATTATATATTTGTGTGTGTGTGTATGTGTGTGTGATTTATTATAGTGCTGAATACTTGCTTCCACGTGCAAGGTCATTATGCACAGGTTCCTTCAACAACGAAGACAATTCATTCCAATCAAAATGAAATTGCAGATCGTAATTCGCCTTCACTGAAGGGATGTAAAGAAAGTTATATTTTTATAGTAACTTAATTGTGACTCCATTACGCAGCGCATAACCAGGCCTTCGCTGTGACAGTTTATAGACCATTCTTTTAATGTAACGGTAATTTGAGCCTATTGCGTCATATCTATGTTCATAGAGAGTTTTTAAGTTAATATATTAAAATAAGGACGACCAGCTTTCAGATTTTAAATGCACGTATATTCTATTGCAAAATTCCAAAGGGTTTAAACATTAAATAAAAATACATTTCTCCAAGACATTTCTCGAATTGAAGGCTGTTAGAATACACATTATAGTTTTCCAAACTTAGCAAGTTTCTTCCGTATTATCCAGATATATAACCTTGGAGAATTGAAGTTGATTAGTGAAGTTTTTGAATATATGTGAAGTACTCAAGAACAATCTTATGCTGTTGTGTTTTATACAACTTTCGCTGGTGTCTTTATCCCACATCTTTATATATTTAATGTCCTAAACAAAACACTGGTTAATGTGAAAACATTCTACCTCATCTGTAAGAAAACCTTATATTATGATCACGTGTCACGTAATAAACCTTATATGATGATCACATTTATGTAAGAATATCTTATGTTATGATCCCATGTTATGTAAGATCTTATATTATGATCACATGTTATGTAAGAAGATCTTATATTATGATCACATGTTATGTAAGAAGATCTTATGGTATGATCACACGTTATGTAAGAAGATCTTATGGTATGATCACGTGTTATGGAAGATCTTATGGTATCATCACGTGTTATGGAAGATATTATATTATGATCGCATGTTATGTAAGAATATCTTATTTTATGATCACATGTTATGTAAGAAGATCTTATTTTATGATCACGTGTTATGTAAGAATATCTTATTTTATGATCACGTGTTATGTAAGAAAATCTTATTTCATTATCACATTTTACGCTGACAGGTTATATTTCTGCCAAGAAGAGATTACTGGCTTTCTGAAAGATGAAACGAAACTTAAATCAAATTTTAAGAAAATATGCTGACATTTTATGCAGGAAAGTAACCAAAGATATACAGATATTTTATGCAGGAAAATGACCTAAAATATACTGACATTTGACGCAGGAAAGTGACCTAAGACATACTGACGTTTTAGGCAGGAAAGTGGCTTAAAATATATTGACATTTTAGGCAGGAAATTGCCCTAAAATATACATACATTTTAAGATGGAAAGTGGCTTAAAATATACTGACATTTTAGGCAGGAAAGTGACCTAAAATATACTGTTATTTTAGGCAGGAAAGTGACCTAAAATATACTGATATTTGACGCAGGAAAGTGACCTAAGATGTACTGAAATTTTAAGCAGGAAAGCGACTTAAGACATACTAACGTTTTAGGCAGGAAAGTGGCTTAAAATATATTGACATTTTAGGCAGGAAAGTGGCCTAACATATACTGACATTTTAGGCAGGAGAGTGGCCTAACATATACTGACATTTGAGGTAGGAAAGTGGCCTATCTTTAAATATCGCTTATTTTCCTTTACCTATCCTCTGCAGAGGAAGAGTTAAAGGTTTGTTCCTTATTGTGCATGAAACCACAGAGACAAATTCAATAATGTATCGTCTCTACACAACTTAAACATGATGGCAGACAGGAAGCCGACAATATAGATGATTATACCATTAATTTTTCACATTTATCTATGTTGGTAGTTTTATGCTACCTGATGTCTTATGGCAGCAGATAATCTGCAACCTTCAAACACTTTATTAGCTTTCGCAAATGCCTGCTGTAATAGTTATTAAAATGTGCTAGATGAATCCTTGCTAATATCAGCACCAGATTTAAGTACCGTACCAGTAATAAAGCCTCGACCTATTTAACAGTGAAAGCTAGTTGTGAAAATTGGTGCAGCAGTCTTTATCAGAAAATAATAAAAAAAGGACTTTTATTTACTTTGAAATCAAAATGAAATCCTGCTCGCCATATTGCTGTATCAACGTACGTTGTTTGCATTTTCTCATTCTGCGTAAGATATATTTGGAGCCGACAACTGCTAAAAGCATGGGCTTACTTGAAAAGCAGAGTAAAAATTTTTACAAGCATAATATATATTGACACTGTTCTTTACTAATGCGCCAGTAACAAATATATTGTAGAAAAATAGAGTGCGACAAAGCACGCGGTCTCGCCCGTTTCATTAAAATACGAGGTCCACGGCATCTACTTACTATACATTCGTTCCAGCAAACTCCACACACGTCTAGCCTGTCCGGTTGAACTAACGTAGCCTTCCTTCAAAACAAAGAAATGATCGAAATTAATCTATTTTGATGACAAATGATCTCCAAAAGTTCTCGTAATACAAGATTTTGAACGCCACGAAAAATTAAGGGGCTATCTTTACAGTTCATACATTCGTATAACAATTATTCGATTTGAAAAAAATAAACACGTTTCAGTGTAAAACGTGTAATTTAACATTAAAATATGAATAACGTTTACGCGAAAAAATATATGTATTCGTACTCATAAAAATTATTTGAAATAATTTGACTATTGTTTTATTACATTCTATATAATCCTATTTCCTTTCCACGTGCCGGGAAGAAGCAGTTTCAAATACCTCCTAATACGTCCAATTTGCTCGTCAATTTATTATGCTCTAAACATTTTGTAAAAATAAACATAACATGTTATTTATGTCTGCCAGACTCTATGGAAAACACATTTTATTTTATTGTTTTAGAATATTTGCTTAAAGCTACTCAGAGTAAATTTTCCTTAATTTTGAACTGGTAGACTAAGGGAAAACAGCAAGTCAACATCACCCACAGATAACTCTTGGACTACTCTTATCTAAGCAAATAGTGTGATTTTACTGTAGCTCTTATAACGCACCCTCGTTACCACGGTGAGGAAAACGTTTTATAAGGCAAGCGGACGCGAGCTTGGAATTCTCGGATTCGCAGTCTGGACTCGCTAACCACTTTATGTGTTTTATGTTTTTAATACATTAATAAAATGAGGTATTATATCTAAGAGGAAAACAATTATTTTAAAAGTATTTTAATTCTGTTGAGTATAAGAAAATACATTTCTTTCTAGTCATAGGTTTGGACACATATACAGGATCAACAAGTAATTGAATCTTTTACTGGGATAATGGTCGCCATCTTGGACTGTCATTAACTTAATATCTTCTACTGAAGAACGTTAACACTAATTATTACAAGCAGAACAATGCCCATCAATGGCTCCTGTTGAAACTTGCAACCAGGTTTCATACACACACAGGTAACTGTAATTAATGGTTTATTGGAGTTCTTTTATTACCGATTTCTTCTCCCTCTGTGCGTGAGTTGCATGAGTTATGGGCGACGTTACCACGGTGATAACTATCATCGGCTCACGTGTCTTCCCAACAATCTTTAATGACGGCATCATCTCTACCAGTTCAATTTTATCGACGCTACTTCATTTGCGACGAAAGGTTTACCAAACTTCACCGAGTTATTGGTCTATTAGTCAATGATAAACGGTATATTTAACACTTTCACAAAGTTAAAATAAAATTCCAAAGAATAAAAACAAAACAGAGCACGAAACTTCAGGTTTTAAAGGTTAATATTTTGGCTTCTTTATTTATACAAGTGAATACTCATGGGTTTATTATTTAAATGTGGAGTCCAATCTATAAAGTCCACCACAATAAGAAGAAGCCTTTTCCAGGGTTGCTCGTGAAGAAAACCCTTTAATATCGGTATAACTCAGTGATAAGTGTTGAATCGAATGGCATACTGAGCTTCATATTTATTTTTGTTATCTTAAAAAGCTCATCTGCTGAATAATTTAAAAAATATATTAGTAGCATCAATGTTACATATTATTTAACTATTATATAAATATAGATTCACTGCGGTGACAAATAAAAACACCATAAATAAATATGGGGCTATTTTCAGCTGATCCGTGTAACGTCTGTATTGTTGTAAGCTAAGGCTTATCTGTTTTCAGCTGATCCATCTGACGTCTGCATTGTTGTAAGATAAGACCTGGTTGTTTTCAGCTGATCCGTGTAACGTCTGTATTGTTGTAAGCTAAGGCTTATCTGTTTTCAGCTCATCCGTGTAACGTCTGCATTGTTGTAAGATAAGACCTGGCTGTTTTCAGCTGATGCATGTAAGGTTTGCATTATTGTAAGGTAAGACCTAATAACATATCAGTATTTACATTTGTTTATTCAAGATTGTTTATTCAAGTTAAGACTTTCTAGCTTGTAATACTCCACAATCTCGAAACGAGTTTTTCCAATCAAACCTGAGTAAAGACGAACAAAAACACAAATTAAAATGTTTTCGTGTGTAGATAGTTTTATACGTAAGCTTCACTTGTAGTAATAAATATATATTTAGAAGAAGACTCTTAAATTAGAATCCATAAGAGATAAAGTGCACATTTCTGTTACACCTTGTGACGAACTGCATATAAAATAAGTAGGCTTAAGAACTCAAGTGAATTTTCCAGCTGTGTGCGACCATTATTCCATGCCATATGAAAATGTTTAGAGAGTAAATAACAAATTGATTGATGTTGCTATTATTACTCATACGATTTACACGGTTACTTAACCAGATTTATATCTGCCTGGATCGTCGTGGGTACTATTTTTTTTCGATATAAAGATGATAATGATTGAAATTATATTTACTATTTTTCCTCGTGTTAGATTTTCTAACATAGTCAATATATATATATATATTTGGTACTTTGTTTACAGATTAAAGTGAGTTTACACCTCCTTTCTTTATTTCAGTTCTCAGTGATCAACATGGGCTGTCAACAAGAAAAACCAAAATCACTTACACTTATGTTTTCATAATGTGTACTAAATTCACCTTCATCCTAATAAGGCCTGATATCGTAATTAACTTTATATTCACTCCCATCTTTACAAAGCAGAAAAGGTCCGTCGGTGGGACAGAGGTAAGTTTACGGTGGACAGAGCTGATGCCCTAATATAAACAAACAGATAAAACAGAAAAAGAAAACATCTTCTTCACATTAGAATTTAACCTAATAGCGTAGGCCAGACATAAAAACATGGTGACACATAATGACAAGCGTGGCTTGGTTATTCGGGTTCGAGTCCCCGTCGCATCAGGACTAGACGAGTTAGGTAGCACAGAATAAACTATCATGACCATATCAGATACAAAGCTGTGTTTCATGAGTAGGTGGGCTAAGTAGCAGTGTCACATCAAGACTAAACGAGCTGCTTAATATTGTCACATCAAGACTAAACGACCTGTTTAGTATTGTCACATCAAGACTAAACAAGCCACTTAGTAGCAGTGACACATCAAGACTAAACGAGCTGCTTAGTAGCAGTGTCACATCAAGAATAAACGAGCTGCTTAGTAACAGTGTCACATCAAGACTAAACGAGCTGCTTAGTATCAGTGTCACATCAAGACTAAACGAGCTGTTTAGTAATGTCACATCAAGACTAAACGAGCTGCTTAGTAGCAGTATCACATCAAGACTAAACGGATTACATATTAGCAGTGTCACATCAAGACTAAACAAGCTACTTAGTAGCACTATCACATCAAGACTAAACGAGCTGCTTAGTAACAGTGTCACATCAAGATTAAACGAGCTGCTTAGTATTGTCACATCAAGACTAAACGAGCTGTTTAGTATTGTCACATCAAGACTAAACAAGCTACTTAGTCGCAGTGACACATCAAGACTAAACGAGCTGCTTAGTAGCAGTGTCACATCAAGACTAAACGAGCTGCTTAGTAATGTCACATCAAGACTAAACGAGCTGTTTAGTAATGTCACATCAAGACTAAACGAGCTGCTTAGTAACGGTGTCACATCAAGATTAAACGAGCTGCTTAGTATTGTCACATCAAGACTAAACGAGCTGCTTAGTAACAGTGTCACATCAAGATTAAACGAGCTGCTTAGTATTGTCACATCAAGACTAAACAAGCTGCTTAGTAGCAGTGTTACATCAAGATTAAACGAGCTGCTTAGTAATGTCACATCAAGACTAAACAAGCTGCTTAGTAGCAGTGTTACATCAAGACTAAACGAGCTGCTTAGTAATGTCACATCAAGACTAAACAAGCTGCTTAGTAGCAGTGTTACATCAAGACTAAACGAGCTGCTTAGTAATGTCACATCAAGACTAAACGAGCTGCTTAGTAACAGTGTCACATCAAGACTAAACGAGCTGCTTAGTAACAGTGTCACATCAAGACTAAACGAGCTGCTCAGTAACAGTGTCACATCAAGACTAAACAAGCTACTTAGTAGCAGTGTCATATGAAGACTAAACGAGCTGCTTAGTAGCAGTGTCATATGAAGACCAAACGAGCTGCTTAGTAACAGTGTCACATCAAGACTAAACGAGCTGCTTATTAGCAGCGTCACATCAAGACTAGACGAGCTACTTAGTAGCAGTGTCACATCAAGACGAAACGAGCTGCTTAGTAACAGTGTCATATGAAGACTAAACGAGCTGCTTAGTAGCAGTATCACATCAAGACTAAACGGATTACATATTAGCAGTGTCACATCAAGACTAAACAAGCTGCTTAGAGCACTATCACATCAAGACTAAACGAGCTGCTTAGTAACAGTGTCACATCAAGACTAAACGAGCTGCTTAGCAGCACTATCACATCAAGACTAAACGAGCTACTTAGTAGCAGTGTCACATCAAGACTAAACGAGCTACTTAGTAGCAGTGTCACATCAAGACTAAACAAGCTACTTAGTGGCAGTGTCACACCAAGACTAAACGAGCTACTTAGTTGCAGTGTCACATCAAGACTAAACAAGCTACTTAGTGGCAGTGTCACATCAAGACTAAACAAGCTACTTAGTGGCAGTGTCGCATCAAGACTAAACGAGCTGCTTTGTGGCAGTGTCACATCAAGACTAAACGAGCTGCTTAGTAGCAGTGTCACATGAAGACTAAACAAGCTACTTAGTGGCAGTGTCACATCAAGACTAAACGAGCTACTTAGTGGCAGTGTCGCATCAAGACTAAACGAGCTGCTTAAACATTTCTTTGAAAAATGCGGCACATTATTCGGTTACACTACGTATGCAATATTAATTATATTAGCAAAAATACAAATACCCGACCTCCGGACCGGTAAAACTGCTAGTTCCTGCGACTTTTTCTGGAATTGTCTGACAGTTCTACCACAAAGTACTCATACTTGACATTCATGAGAAAAAGGATTTTATTGAAATTTTAGTTTAAAAATGAG